TTGTTTTCATAAGACACCCATTCATACTGTATACAACTGCATACTCTGGCAGTATGTGATTTCGGACACAATTACTGTATATAGACCGGGTTTCTGTGGGTCTTCAAAAGGTCTTAAATCAGAGTAGAAAGTTTTAAATTCATAAAGCCATGCACTGCAAAAAATTATATCTTCAACAGTATTTTTGTCTTGTTTTCCAATACAAATATCTAAACATCCTTAAATCTAGATATGTTCTTGACATGCAAAATGACGAGTTGAAGTCTTGTTTTCTGAGAAAGTCATCAAAATTAAGAGAGTTTATACAAGAACAAATATCTGTCAGTGAGCTGTGAAAACATGTTTTCTGAGCCATAATCATAAACTCTCTTTATTTTGATAATTTTCTCAGAAAGCATGACTTGCTACCGTATGTCATTTTGCTTTTCAATGGAATTTCATTAAATACATTTTTTGCTCTAGAAAACAAGACAAAAGTACAAAAGAAGAACAGCACTTTTCTGCAGTGTAATCAAGAAGGTACAGTAGAAGTTATTTCCATATTCTATATTTTTGAATGAATTAAAATGTTATTGAAATTTGTTGAAATATGTATTTTCAAACTGTTGCTTATACAACTAATTATCTGCTCCCTAGACATTTTTGTTTAGAGAATATATTGAGATGTTCTGTTCTCTTCAATATTTCAAATTGTATTTATTTGGCCTTAAAAATGTTTTTAAAATCACAAATTGAGCTTTATAAAATGTGCAGAAACCCTGATGGAGATGACAGGAAATGAGAAGAGAGATCACTAGCCTATATGTCAGAAGTAAAACTCAAATCTACGCATTTGTTATGAAGTTGCAATCTCACCTACATCCCTTCTAATGGTAGTTAGCTATTGAAAGTCTTGAAGAAAAGATTTGGAAGATGTCCTTTTTGGACAAAACAATTGGGTGAATTTGGTTTTTTTTTGACAGTCATACTCTGTTAGTTGTAGCGTCATGTAGATGGGTTCTTCACTCTGGTGTTATTGAGCAGACTTCTGAAGGCGCCTCAGTCAGCTCAGACAGTCCGTCAAAGGAACTGGAAGGTGGATCAGGTCCCTGCCAAGTTGAGGCTTATGCTGACCGATTGTGGATCTGCAGTGTAGTGAGTGAGAGATATTGTGAGCGGAGACTGTCTGAGTCAGCTTTCTCCACTCCTCACCGCTCATCTTTGTGCTGTGCTCATGTATTCTGCTGAATTTATAGTTCTTCTCACACTCAGATGGACTGTTAGACGATTGCTCAAAACCATATTGTTCTTAAGTGACTTGGAAGGTTTTGCCAAACGTGTGTTTGACATATGTTTTTACCCTCATAAATTGCTGCTGTTTTGGTCTGGGATGCCAACCATTCCGACATGAATAAACAGCAGTGAGATGACATGATAAAGTAAATATTGCACATCTGGAACGTTCCCTCAGGAATGTTTGTATTATCACCTTATCCACACTGGACCGTACTGTGGCTCATCTGCGACGTCAGTTACACACACACAGACTCGCTCACTGGCGGGAGGAACTGATGCGTCTGTCTGAATATATTCTCTTCCGGATGGTCTCATTTTTAATGCCAAACCACAGATGTCTCTGGAGCAGAATGTCTCGCAGTGCTCACTGCTCAGAACACCACTTGATGAAGCTGTGAAAACAAACGGCTCTACTTCAGTTCCAAACTTTTGTTGAGGCTATATGATCTGTGTATTTTAGAAGAATGACGAGGTCCCACAAACAGACAGCAGGGAAATAAAATGGAATTTTGCCTTTGACATGAATCAATGCAGATTTGTAGGGCTCTCATGTAAGTAGGGATTGAAATTGTAAGGAATTTTATTATTCTGGTTACGATTCCAATTTCATTTTCAATTTTCAGTGGCATGAGTACTTTTTAGAGACACACACAAAAAAATATTAAATTGAAAGTTTAGAAGAAAGAAAGCAATTCATTGTGAAAATAAGTAGTCTTTAGCAAACTTTTCCCAAGAGCACTTTTTCAGATATAATACACTTTAAAGAATATACTTGAGTGTGAACTGTGAACTGAATGTAATGTTTTATTGTTATTTACAATGTTTTGGTTTTAATTTATAATAAATCCAATTAGCCAAACTTTAGAGTTTCTTACCCACTGAAGTAGGACTTAATACATCTTCATTTTTAATTTTATAATAGCTTCTGTTGTCTTTGAAATATGGTTAAAGTAAGTTCCCAACTGTACTGGCAAGCATTTATGGTAAACTTAAACTTTAATGTCATCTCTACTGAAACTTGTGTGTTTTGTAGGCCTATTTAAATATATTTGCAATTGCGCATTTGAAATGATAAAGTTGCAATTTAGCACATTTAAAATATCTCAACTACAAATGTAATATCAAATAACACACTACAGTTAAAATTATAATCAAAGACTTTGCTTTTGTATGTTAGAAGTGTGCTTATTTTTACAGCACAACAAAATATTCTTAAAACAAAGATTTAAAATGTACTTTTAAAATCTGCAATTTGTAATTTCAAGGTTTTAATGTACACTTGTTTTAAAAAAAATAGTCATGAAAGTGAACTCTCTTAAAGTACATTTAAATGCTCTTTTATTATTGTCAATATTATTATTATTATTATTATTTGCAAGTACAGTTTTTAAATATACTTTTAATATTTGAAGTACACTACAAGTGCACATTCAATATAATTAGGCACGCTTCTTTTTCACAAGTGGTTTACAGAGCTATGGTTTTAATTTTTGGTACACAATGTTGTCCAGCTGGTTCACACTGCAGCTTATGGCCAAGAACCTCCCACTTAGACAGGATGAGACTGTATAACCAACATGTAAAGCAACCAACCACAGCTTTTTTTTTTTGTGTGTGTGTGTCATTTAGGGGCAGATAAATCTGAATTCAGTCATACTATAATAACAGAATGGTAGTGTTGGAGGGAAAAGCTCAAATAATGGCATGGTAGTGTCTACAATTAGTTGTACAAACAGCGTCATAGAAAATGGCTAAAATGTATGTAGAACTTTTGTTTCCAGGTGGGCTGATGAAAAATTGACATACAGTGGTGCGTAGAGACCAGCCAATCAAATTGGAACTGCAGAATTTCATTCAACATTTGCAACTCTTTTCTGCAATATGCATCAGATGGTCAGTGAACAGACTGTGGGCGGTACGTGGGGGTGCTGTCTGAGTTTGAGTTGAGTCAGATTAAAACGTAAATGTGGACACAACTGTAGGCTATGCATGTAAGCATGTGTTTATGCATTTATGGTCCACTGTTTACATATCTCCTCCGTCACACTCTCTAGTAATGGCCAAGCCTCAGACCCTCACAAAAAGCTATGTGTGTGTCTTTGGCTGGGAGATATGATTGTAATTGTGTGTACTTTTGTTCCAAAGCAATTCAAAGCAGACATGCTTTTGATCCCTAACCAAGAGGGTATGTCTTGCGTTAATTCTTTGTTTTATCTGTTGCTATTTCTTTAGTTATTGCAGTCACTAGATAATGGCTCTCGGATGTGGAATTGAGCCAAAGGATGGATGGTTGCCTGCTTTTTCGTGTTCTGTTTTGCTGTGTCATATGACTAAGCATTGATAGAGAGACCCTTCTGGTGTAAGGCTGGTTGATAAGGAACAGTAAAAAGATGTCTTTGTAGAAATGTGCCTCAAGGTTTCGTACTAGGCCCATTTGAATTCTTCTGTTTTAGATGATTATGTAAAGTTAAATGCTTCAAAAATGTGAAATTGTGAAGTTTATTCATAATGAATAATTGACAGAAATTTGGAACAGAAAAAATAAATGCATTTGATGCATTCAAATGATCATAATGTTTTGAGAGGGTTTATTTGCTGGTTATGGACACCATATTGGTCATTAGCTATTTTAGGATCAGTTGCACTTGAGATTTCAAGATTTTCAGTCTTTGTGTAGTGCATTCATTGGCCAGAATAGTTTATTAATGCAAATACTGCAATATTGATCCATGATTTTTAGTCTTTCTGCTGTCAATCTAAATTTAACAGCATCTATTATTTAACAGGTTTTCTGTTTCTGAACAGAACAAAGAAAAATCAAATGGGTATATCGTATATGTACCAAAAACTGCCAGTAAATGTCCCAATCATATATAATAATGACTGAAATGAGTGAAACAATTTTAAGGAGAAAGGTCAACAAATCTCAGACTGTGACTTTGAAACCTTGTGACATTGAGAGTCGTATTCAGTTTACGTTTCTGTATGTTATGCATAATTTATCAGTAAAGCTATGAATGTGACCTGCTTGGAACCAGAGCCTTTTCTTACAGCAGTGCTCATCTCTTTTATTGTGGCCATTGTGATTGTGTGTGCATGAAAGAGGCAGATTATTTTTTACAGTACTATGAAAGCAAGCTTCTGAAACACACAGAATGTGTGATATACAGTTCTTTGTTTCTAAAGGACGAAGTATGCTTTCTTATGTGTAGTTGGGCCATCACTAATGAATAGCCTGTGCCCTCCTTTTTCCCCCCAGTGCTGGGTTGATGAATCTAGGCCAGTTCAACCAATACAACAGTCATCCCCAGCTACATTTCAGAACCAGCTGACAGACTTTAATACACTACACTGCACTGCTGACATTCAGTGGGACCAACTCCCTCTATTTACCTAGACGTTAAACTTTTTAGACAAACATTCAGTAAGTAGTGGTAGACAAATATTTGGCCATTTTAAGAGCATCAACATGAGTTGAAGCCAACCCATATTACCTACCTCCTATTGGTTCCAAAATATACCCTTTTCTGTTTTCAAACTTCACAAATGGTTAATTATATTTGGTATATACATGGTATGTCATTTATTAGAATATACTGACTGATTAATACAGATTTTTTTTCTTTTTCAGTTGAGTGTTTCAGTTTTGTTATACAGTTATTACAGTAAACCATGTGTTCATGTTACCGCTATGTACCACTGAACCTCCTCTGCTCTCTCCTCAGGTTGGCGGCACTAAAACAGGAGTAGTGCGTTATGTTGGAGAGACTGACTTTGCCAAGGGCGAGTGGTGTGGAGTCGAGCTGGACGAGCCGTTAGGGAAAAACGATGGAGCTGTAGCTGGAACCAGGTACATCATTAGTCTTCTGCTAACATGTCCTGTCTTTAGCAACACCCTCAATGGCCTTCAGCATTAAGAGGTCTCAATGTTTCATGCTTTTTTCAAAGAGGTTTAAAGACTGTTTAGCATGCTAATATATATCAGTTGTAGTGTGATGTACAACATGGAATCAAAATGGACCCTTTTTAAATTTTTCAATACATACTGGTTTTATTCATCAGTTCATGTTATTCCTGAGGCAAATTTTTTTTTGTCTTTTTTCAACATCTTATAACCTGATCTTAACCTGATTAATGGTTACTGTTCCCAATCCAAACAATTCCTGACAGACAAACTCCCACCCTATTTAATTTTTGAGGGAAATTCTGTCACATTACATTGAAGTAAAATGGGTTGCAGATGCAGTTTCATGTTGACTTTTAGTAAAGTACAGGCCAAGTAATTTGGACATGTAATCATTCACATGCTGAGCCGAGGTTAAACCTCTGCTGTCTTTTCAATGAAGAATGGGGATGGTTGAGTTCCAAACAGGAATAAACAGCTTAATAGATATTTGTTAATTGTTGACATTTGGCCCAAGGCCGGATTTAGTAGATTATGTCGTTTGTTTTTATAATGATAGCTTGACATCAGGCTGGACATTTGCCTGTGTTCAGTTCAGATGACAAGAAAAGAAGCATTTACTAATAGAAAACAGTGATTACAACAGACCTTGCACTACCATTCAAAGGTTTTGAAAGAGCTTTTATGCTTACCAAGACTGTATTTATTTATTTATTGTAAAAACAGTAATATTGTAAAATATTGTTACAATTTAAAATAACCGTTTTAACTACATTAAATTGTATTATTTTAATATGGAGTTTAAAATTTAATTTATTGCTTTGATGGCAGATATGAATTTTCAGCAGCCATTACGCCAGTCTTCAGTGTCACATGATCCTTCAGAAATCATTCTAATATGCTGATTTGCTGCTCAAGAAACATTTCTTATTATTATCTCATTTGAAAATGGTTGTATTGCTTAATATTTTTGTAAAAACTGTGATACAATTTTCATGATTTTTTTTTTCAGGTATCTTACTAGTAGTACATATGTTGACATTTTAATGTTAATCCCAGCTCATACGCATTATTTATTTTACTCATTTACTCATCTAGTTCTTGATTTATTATATTACCATATAAATTAACAATCTCTGCATTACTGGTAAAAGGCAAAAACTTCTCTCTAAAAGCAAAACAGTGAAATTCCTAATATTAATTCTAATACGTTCAAATAAAAACATTTCTATTAAAACAACAACAAAAATATTTTCTGTTGTCACGCACAGGTTTCATAAGTGCATTTATTCAGTAACCTCAATCACAAACAATATAGTTAAGATGTATTTTTGCGTTTCTCAAAGTTCATCACTGAGAAGGTTTGATCGCAGATTAAGTCACAAGCTATTTCCTCCCTCACTTCCTTATTCTCTCTGTCTCTCCCTAGATATTTCCAGTGCCCACACAAATTTGGCCTCTTTGCTCCAATCCACAAGGTGATCCGCATTGGCTTCCCATCCACCAGTCCAGCTAAAGCTAAGAAGAGCAAGCGTATGGCGATGGGTGTGTCGTCTCTGGCTCACAGCCCCTCCAGCTCCTCCATCAGCTCTGTCAGCTCCGTGGCCTCCAGTGTGGGGGGGCGACCCAGTCGCACTGGCCTGGTAAGGGATGGTAAAATGACAAAAAGAAAGCGCCAATGCAAACCATGTCTTATGTTGACATTTTGCAGCATTGCTTCCTGATGTGACTGTTAAAGGGTTAGTTCACCCAAAAATGAAAATTAGCTTGTGTTTTACTCACCCTCAAAGCATCCTACGTGTATGCTTCATCCCCTGGAGCCGTCTGCTGCACATTTTATTATGAATGCGCGAGCTTTATTTGACGACTTGTGGACTGTTCAACTGCAACACCCGCTGACTGCAATTATAGAGCTTGGAATAGCCAGGACAATTTTTAATATAACTCTGACTGTATTCGTCTGAAAGAAGAAAGTCATATACACTTAGGATGCTTCGAGGGTAAGTAAAACGCAGTCTAATTTTCATTTTTGGATGAAATAACCCTTTAAAGGCCACCTATTATGCCTCTTTTTACAAGAGGTAATATAATTCTCAGAATGTGTCTGTGAAATTTCAGCTCAAAATACCAGTTTTTTACTGTTCCCATTCAGTCAGTCACGTTCTACGTTACATCAGTGACTGACGAATTGGGGTAAGCATGTTGGTTAAGGTAATGGTAGGAAGACACTTCATTGTTGCAACATCGGTCCCCTCAGAGAGAGTCTTCTGAAAAACAGGACAAATAATCCAAGCTGAGGCATCTGATATGCCAACCTGCACTAAAGACTAAAGTGTCTTAATGTTAAGACTTTTGCCTTTATTTATTTATTTGATTTGTTTGCTGTGGTTCTGTGTTCAATTAAAGTTTTATTAAAATGTTAAATAATAGTAACTGTATTTTTTGTGTAACGAAAAAATTCATAAAAATAAGGCTTTTATAAAAACACTGAATAAAAAATTGCTTACCAACACACAAACCATTCACTATTGCTAAATTGGGCTAAAATAGAAGGCTCCGAGTGATACTAAATGAAGAGCCATTTGGGAGCCGTAAGAGCCGGCTCTTCTAAGGGAGCCGAGCCAAAAGCCGGACTTCCCATCACTAGCTCGTACCTCAGTTACACTGCTAAAAATCATCTGTTTGGTTTTGATTATCATGTCTATCACGTTGAAATCATGTGTTTTAAAGCCATGTCAGTTTAAACTTCTTATACACGATTTTCTGAGTGCACGCATTGGAAGCAAGCGCACAGAAAGCGGCTGTCACACGGCATGAGAGTACTAAACTAAGTTCTCTTTCATTTCTTATTGTGCTTATACTGTCAAATACACACAAGTTTATGTTAAAAACACACGAGTTACAAAAACACAGTCGGTTTTGTCTGTGAAGGTAAACTGTTGGGAAAGAAATCGCAAAAACAAAATGGCAACGCCGTGGGTGGAAACGTGCAGATTAAGGGCCGGTAATATTATAATAAGATTCCCTTCCTACGCCACGGGGGTGCGAAATCTGAGCAGCTCGTTTTTTCACAAGCTTGTCGAGAAAGGCTTACCTAAACAAAGTTAATGGGTTGTCCCTTTTCACGTTTTTTTGGGTTGGTAGATGCACCGGAGACCCGATTATATATTAATTAAAATGCATAAAATAAATAACCATATTTATTTTTTCTTCTAAATAACTATTGTTTCTGAGTTTATTAAAAAGACATTAAAAACAATCAGCTTTGTCACAGTTATAGGAGAAGGCTTATCAAAACAAAGTTACTGGGTTGTCCTTTTTTACGTTTTTGGGTTGGTAGATGCACCGGAGACCCGATTATAACACTTAAACATGATTTTCATGATATGTCACAGTAAAAAAGAAGAAGAAAAAATAAATATGGTTATTTATTTTATGCATTTTTAGCATTTTAATTAATATATAATTGGGTCTCCGGTGCATCTACCAACCCAAAAAACGTGAAATGGGACAACCCATTAGCTTTGTCACAGTTATAGGAGAAGCTTGCCGAGAAAGGCTTATCAAAACAAAGTTACTGGGTTGTCCTTTTTTACGTTTTTGGGTTGGTAGATGCACCGGAGACTAGGGATGCTCCGATCTGCCTTTTTCGCCTCCGATTCCGATACCT